CTCTCTCTCTCTCTCTCCCTCGCTCGCTTCATACACACATACATGTACATTGCATATGTACATACATGCAAACATACATGCACACATACATATTCGTACACGCACACCACAACCGTGTCCCAAGTACAAGGACCCCCATGATAAGTTCCCGTTCCTTAGGCCGGTACCTGGGAAGGCTGTCGCTCAAGAGGAGGCTGACGCTCGGAAGGAGGCTGTCGCTCGGAAGGAGGCTGACGCTCGGGAGTTTCCAAATCCTCGGTTTGGGCAACTTTTAGGGTTTAGGGTTCAGGGTTTAGGGTTCAGGGTTTAGGGTTTAGGGTTTAGGGTTTGGGGTTTAGGGTTTAGGGTTTAGGGTTTAGGGTTTAGGGCTGTAGGACTTTGGGCTTTCGGTTTGGGATTCTTGACGTTACATGTTGCAAGGACTTGTGCGTCTAGATGTTTCTCAGAAGGGTCGTTGCATGTTGGGAGCTAAAGCAGCTCTACTCCGGTGCGGATCATTGTAGAGGGCTTAATGATTAAGGATAGGGTTTTGGGGCTCCTTTGTAGTATAATCAGGAACCCTGAGGAACGCTGATGGTAATCAATGAGGAATTCCAGCCTCAAAAGATTCAGGCACGCTGCGTGGACCCTGCGAAGAAGCCGCTTCTTCTCCTCAGTGAGCTCCGTCTTTTGCCCCAATTCCGCCTGGCAGAAGCAGAAACGAAGCGGCTCACTTTGTCCACCTCTCAAGTTGTTACAGCTACCCATAGGCCCCAAAGTAGTTCCTTTGTTGGGGTTCATATTTAGAATCCAATAAGGTAATCCCAAAAGGAACTACTATATGGGCAGTCCTTAGCTGGCAGAAAGCGTTTACAAAGACCCGAGCCTCCAACTTGGTGCTGAGAGTCTGCACCTCTTCTGTTCTTACTCGCACCTCTGCCTGCACGGGCGAGCCCGATAGCGAAGCTGCGATCTCTTTTTGTGTGTTGGACTTCCTATCTCTCGCGTTGGAACTCTCGACTATATGGAATGAGGAAAAGCAACAAGAGCGCAGGATACACGAGCTGAGCCGCAGTGGGCACAGCAAACTAGCGCCCGGGACACAAGAGTTGCACCACGTGGGGCACAGCCAAAACAAAGCCCAGGACACAACGCATGAGAAAGCCAAAGCAAGCAACAGCTCAGGACTTGGCAAAGCAGGAGCCCAGGACACAACAGCTGGACAGCATGAGGCAATCCAACCAAGAGCCCATAATGCCCTAAGGTGACCTCGGGTTGAATTCTTGACTGGACTGCTGTTGGAGTGTCGGCACGTGCCTGAAGCTTCTCTTTCTCTGATGCGGAGGCCTGCGAGCATTAGCGTCGGATACTGGCGCTTGAGTAGCTGGGCTGGGGTTTTGGGTATAAGCTCAGCAGGGAACTCTCACAAACACTCTTTTCCGAGCTATATATTGCCACAGCTACTTCTTCCTGCATGAGCGCGACATGTCCGCCAGAGAACGAATCCCGATTTCTCGTCTGACTGCCGATCTTTGTACAGAGTCGAATCAGAAGCCATCCAAAACCTATCCAAGACCCCTAACACCTAGCACCAAAATTCCCTAATTGAACCTTTGAACGCCTGAGCCCTACAGTACGCCCTGAACCCAACCAAGCCCGTGTCTACCTGCAGGCGCTTCTGGAGGTCGCTGTTGGCTTCGCTCAGTTCGTTCTTGTGATCTCGAGTGACCTGCATGTGACGACTCATCTAGGGTTTCGGGTTTAGGGTTTTGTAGCAAGCTACTCAAACCCTGAAAACAGAAACAATAAACGCTTATGTAAAGCCTCCCGCAATAACAGTGGTGCAGGGCTATGCTAAATCATGTGCACATGAATGCGCACACCCTTGACCCGTGCCTGTCCTCTACGAGCCTTAAGGCGCACATGAATGCGCACACCCCTCCGTAACCCAAAAAAACCCTAAACCCTAAACCAAGACCCCTTCTGAACCTGTAGACTCCTACATAACACCAGAAAAAACCACCCGAAAGCCAAAACCCCTGAACAAAACTCCTTTCCCGATAGCCCTTCCGTCTCGCAGTCGCTGCAGCCATCTTGGGATTCGGGGTTTAGGGTTTAGGGGTGGAGGGGTTGAAGGTTTAGGGGTTTGGGGTTTTGGGGCAGGCTTCCTGTCAAAGGTGATCCATTCTCACACAGCAGTAGCTTCAACCAGCACGGTCAGGGTTCAGGGTTTAGGTTTTTGATTTTTGTTCTGAGGGTTCCAGCCTTTAGGCTCTAGTTTTTGGTGATTATTTACAAGGGTTTACATAAATTTTAGGGTTTAGGGCTTAGAACTCACAAAAACCAGAGCTTCTTCAAAACACCTTCACACCCTACTCAAAAACAACCCTGGGCTGTAAGTCTTCGACCCAACAGAACCAAATACCGTAAACCCTAGTCCCATAATCCCCCGTATACATCGCACTAATTTAGGGGCCTCAGTGATTAGAATTATGATGATGATGACGATTATGATTATTAAGGGCCCCTACATTAAACGTAAAAACTCGGACTGCACTTCTGCACGTCGCCTTGAGCTCGGCCATTTGCTCGCGGTTCTTGGCCTGGCCCCAGTTTCGGGCTCAGGGGTTAAATGGTTTAGGGTTTAAGGTTTAGGGGTTACCAGGACCTCAAAAGGGCCCAGCACTTGTTTTTTTCCTAGCGTTAGCGGTCCCCGGTCTCCCTTGCTAAGGTTGGCGGTCCCATTTTGGTTAGAAGTACTATGCACTGCAGCATTTGCTATTGTTTTGCATCCAGCTTTTAGCCAACTGCAATTAGCAGGGTGGCCTTTGGCCGCCAGCT